AAGTGAACAAAATCGAAGGGTAGTGAGGTCAGTACCTGTTCGCCTTGAAGGATTCACGGGATGTAATAGCATAAGCAGTGCTTCTAGCAGTACCAGGGCATTGCTGTTCACCTGGGAACTCATCATTTTGGCTCTTCGATGAATTAACCGGCAATGAAGAAGGAATTCGGGATGCTGTCGGTGTAGTCCAATGATTCGTGAACATTCCACGAATAATCAGCAGTAACTTTATACAGAAGATCGGTGAGCAGTAGCAGATTTGACTCAATGGGAGGATAAATGAAGGATATACGACGCCAAGGATGAGGGGTAAACCTGCAGTCAGTAGTAGCAACTGTCTTCTCGGACATTTCTCCTCAGCCTCACACATACACCTCTTGCCACACCCTTGCTCCCCTTTCTTCCTCAACTTTTTCTAACTAGAAAACATGTGTTATTACTAGTAATCCAAGTGCTTACAACCGCTACCTAGGTGAATTTGGTAATCATATGGCGATTTTTCTACGTTCAAGCTTTTCTACCTATGCAAAGCAGTAAGAAAATGTAACAGAAAGCCAAAGGAGAACCTGTTACTGGTCGACATTTATGGCAATGAACGAACAAAAAGGGGGCACGCTGCCAGCTCATGCTAATTATGTTAGCATTGGAAAGCCTACGGGTCCGAAAACGACAACTACTTTATTAGGCCAGGTCCAGCTTACGTACCAGCTTGTCAGTAAGTATATAAGTGTTATATACATATGTAAGTGTATGTATATGTGCAGTGTGAACATCGATCGATGTAAACATGTGTATGTTTTTAAAAATATGAATATCAGTAGCGCAATATGTGGGTAGGTAGACAAAATGATCTATGGGAACGTGACTGCCGTGGGTTTGTCCGAAATGTAATGGATTTGAAAGGAATCATAGAGAAATAGTGGACGATGAGTGGAGATCTGGGCTGTGGTCCATAAATGGAAAAGAGCGAAAGGAGGGGTGGGCGAGTGAGGAGGGGGGGGGGTTAGAGTCGGCAACATTACCGCGCCTCCAGGGATGTTAGCAAGACAAAGACCTGATTCAACTCCGTCAAGTAATTCATTTAAGCAAACGCGATAATATCCTAGGGGAGGAGAGACATCTACTCGAATCCTTTTCGCCTTGTCTTCGCTTGCACCCATTCATTGGCATCTATCAGATCTCAGCCATTTGCAGGACGTAGGACTTTTGCCATTACCAACATCGATGATCTCGTAAAGACACCTGTTGTTTCCCGAAACAGATTCCGATCGTTCCTGCGATGCCGAATTCCTTGTTTTGTAACTTTGATGCTTCTCTGAAGACGCGCCTGTGCCTGGGGATCTTCCATTACACTTTGTCGAATGTATGTGAGATAGAGAGTGGTACGATGTGAGAACGACGACGGACACAACTCCTAAGATTGCAAAAAGCATTTTTTCACACAGAGTGCGAATTTCTCAAGGCTAGGAAAAATATGAAACTTAAAGTGAGCTGGAGCAAGTGCCTCGGCTTCAGTTTAAGGAAAGGAGCAAGCAAAGCAACACATAGTTGGAACAAGCATGCATGTGGAGGACACGTCGCGTAATTAGGTAGCAGAAAGGAGTGGAAATTGTCATCGCACTCACAGAGCTACCAACTAGCCACTGCATTATTTTCAGCTGCGTCTCCAGATCTGGTCGTTCGGTTATTGCGTGCTCCTCAATAGCCTGAAATTCTAATTTACAGCTCGCGATCAATAACACCATTTTAGAATTATAGCCTGGATATTTGGAATAAGAACGGTACTTAGACCACGTGACAACCATATATTATTATTATTTGTTACCTTTACAAAATCGCAATAGATTTTCGGATGATTGAAAAGTGACGATGATGAGGTGGGAATATCAGATGGAGGCGATTCAACTTCGGACGATCCATCAGACCCTGAATCGCTATTTATATATACTCGTAATCCATAAGATCGGGTAGGCGTGGCTGCGTACTTAAGTTTTCAAAGTGGCGGCGGTCCAGGATATCGTGGGATATTTTCATTTTGGAACAGTCGTAATCATGTCTACATCTAACACAGAACAAGATGGCAGTTGTTTCAAATTGAAGTATCCCACGAGTAACCCGTCCTAGGCCATGCTCGAAGCCACGCCTACCCCGTCTCAGGGATAAGGAGTGTATATATGGGTTTATATTTATTTGTTATTTCAGAAATATGATAATTATTGACCAATCCACTTCATTAACCTGGCATTTTGGCCGAGTCAACCCCCCCCTCCCAAAAGGCGGCATGATATACGACCCCCTCCAGTTCCCTCCTCTGATCTGCTCGAGCCGGATTGGGCGGGGGAGGGGCTATAAAACACACGTGAAACAGGAAAAACCGCGAAAAGTAAACAGCCTTGGAAAATTTTTCCCAACGCCGCGAATTTCTTTCAGAAGGCAAGTGAGATTTCTCTCTCTCTCCCAAACGAGCAAATGCGGCCCCCTCCCCCTTATAGTGTCCGTGAAACAAGAAAAATCAACTGTAAAGAGTTCTCAGACCGAACACGACCCCTCCCTCCCCTAGCGACCAAATAGGACCCCCTTTTGGGGACCCCCGAACGATGATGTGCCCTGCTCTGCATACAATGATCAAATGGACTTTTATGCGATTCAACCATAGTCAATAGGTTGCTTTTCGTCTCTCCGAAAGTTTTACAACTCAATTTGATCTAAGTTGCATGCAATGGGCGGAGTCTCCGCAGGAAATTTCATCAAGAAAATGTTTTGTGAAGCTTTGGAATTTATGCACTATCGAATGTGGTCGTAATGAGTTGAATAATCATCAGGCGCACAATTAGCTGCTGCGCCGATAGCAGCATCTCCTTCCCGGCAACTCCAGATGCTCTTCGAAAATGTCGAGATCAAGCTGATCCCCAGCGCTGACATCAAAGGTATCCTACTGTCTTTTTTCACTCAACAACTCGTACCCTTTACTTCGCGCCCAACCCCATTTGAAATTTTCACCCTCGAAGATTCTTTTTTTATCCAAACGCGATGAACACAGAAAGCGTTGAAACTCGTATAATCGACTCGAAACATCCGTTTTGGAGCATATAACAAGCCAGTAAGAGCGTCGTGTGGAGCTGCTTTAATCATCGCTGAAGGCATTTCACGGAAGATGCTGAGATAAATGGGTGAACCCGGGGAAAAAAAGTGGCGCTGACATAAATAAGGAGATAAAATAAATTTGACAATTCCATGAAACTGATGATGAAGACTTGAAAGCAAATAGGATTAGCAGTGAATTCAAGGCTTTACCAGTTCGTGCAATGGTGGCGATTGAAGTATGAATTCGTGCCACGGTCACACTTGCTGCGATTCACAAAGGACGATCATTACCTCGTTTTCAAACCACTACATTTCATATCACCGCAACCAGTCGGGTCGCAATCAGCGGTTCCCACCTGCGGCCTTCCCACCAGTGGCTGATTCCTTCCTACATCGATCATTGCTCGATCACCATTGGTAGAGCAAGGCGGCCGAAGGCGGGCTCATGCCGCGCTGCTCTCGCCGCCCCCGACTGGTTGGTTTTGATATGTTATAAACCATACAGATCACAAAGAACCACTTTACGACCTAGCGCCGGATTTAGGTGCTCATTCCACAGTAAATGTGCACCGTTGAGTTACAACAAGAGCCACCTGTGAGAAGCATAAAGTTGACTTGATGGCCAAACGGTAGCATCCAAAAAGGAATGCAGTGATTTCTGTGTTGGTCAGGAAGATTATGTTGCTGCTCGCGCTGAAATTGGAAGTGCGCACGGAGGCGGCCATGACTCCGCTCCTCCTGCGACTACGATATGTATTGTACACACACTCGCGCCTCATGTTGCCACTTGCGACCCTCGCCTTTGCCTCAATGCTGGATCTCCCTGATCTGACCCACATTCTCAGTGGATCAAAAGATGCGCACCAAAATGTCACCAGCCTTTGCGAAGAATGCGGGGACTATTACAGCTACAGAGTTTTTTGTATCGCAGTGAAACCATCGCAAAAGTAATGCCAGGACATAAATTTTAGCAAGAAACCGCTACAATGGTGAGTTAAGGTCAAAGAGATCGGATGCGGCTATTGAACTTCATCAACAAAACACGTAAAAGAAGGACAGGAAAACTTCCGAAATGAATGTCATTCAAAGGCCAAGAGGCCCGCACGATTATTTATAACTAGCTGAACTCTTCGTCTAGGTATTGTGAACTGCAGTGAACAATCCTGCATAAGCCCCAAGTCAGAAAGTGGCAAGGTAGCGACGGTAAGGCGCAGGGTCGCCCAAGTGACTCCGCCCAGGTTTATAGATGTCTTGCTTACGCCCTCCTTCGTTTGCATGCTCTCTCGCTGTTTTCTCTGGCCTTTCTCCCGATGTATACAATGACTTTTTCTTCCGCGTGGCACGAGTAGGGCCTTATTTGAAGCCACCTTGAGGGTTTCCTTTGCTTTTTTTTCTTCATGAGCGAGTCAATTAGCACATAAAATTTTGCTTCCCAACGGGGAAAATTTTTTTTTCAGCTGGCTCATCGCGAAGTCTGATTGCCCTGACGGAAGCGATTTCGCAATAATTAATTGGCTATCATGGCAGCCGCTCTTAGCGGCCCTAAATAGCAATATAGCCAGTGACATCTAAACTTAATGTTTGGAGCGCCACTGCGTCAGATGTTAGTGGCTGAGTTGCCATTAGTGCCGCTAAGAGCCGGCTGCCATGATGGCACTCATTGTTACGAACCCACAATCCTTTGGTTGTCTCACGCTAGGGCAACTCGGAATGTTTTCCTCAAGCTGGCTCCCTTGTGAGGAGAAAAGTGCTAAGTATTTGAACTATTGCCCATAAACAATCTAAAATGCTCAGCAGAATTGAGCGCGCTCGCGCAGGACCAAAAGCCTGTGAGTATGGTAACAGTTCACAGTAGGTCTCAATAGTACGTGACGGTAAGCGATTAAAGACACCCCCCAGCAGGAACTGAAGCTAATTTAGTGAATAAAGAACTGAACGGCACACACAATCTGACCACCTGTGGCATCTTCCCAGTCCTTGGTACTCCAGTCGCCAGTTTTCGTTGAACGATCATCATCAACGTCTTGTGCGACAGCGCTAGCCAACTCTATAGCTGTAATATACACACATTTGTTTGAAAACTGTCATCTTAGCTGCGTTACCGCTAGCGGAAGTGAGCTATCCTTCACAAGAAATGCTTTATGTTGATAGCAGCCGTACCTCTATCAATATTGCGCATGCCCTTTTCAGTTGACAGGCGGCGTTCGTGAACAGGTGACGGGACGGGGCGATTTCCGATGCAGGTTGATGTAGTCTTACCGCCTAAAATAAATTTATTATAGACGAGAAACAACTGAAAGCATCCAATCAGTAGAGAAAAGAACAAGCTGAAAGCAATGGAAAAGATTTTCGAGCAAAGGAAGGGAACCCGGATGTCCGGTTTCCTTTGGATGAACCCAATGTCATGCATACTGAATTAAAGTGTGTCTCGATAACGTAAAGCATTTCGGAACAACTTTTATGCGCTAACGCTTTGCTTCGGAGGGGAGGGAGGGGGGCTAATTGTGGATCCTCAAAAATGCCAATGGGGTGTGGTCATTTTGGAACAACGGCTCGATATTCGTAACTTATTTGGACCACGATGGTTCACTGTTGGCGCAAAGTGGCGGGCGCTCCTCCCAGGGAACACATGGGATGTGGAAACTTTCCCCAGTGACGAGAGGGAAGGTTTTCTTCGAGTCATTTTCCCTGACTATTAGTATTAGTAAAATGTTGTACGAAAATAGTTTAGTGCAACTAAGGCGGGAAATTCAACAATCAGAAACATTCTCAGTAGGCCAAATACACCTCTTTCCGTTCGACAGCTATGTTCACAGGGCAGATGGGCAACATGTGCGACTAGAGAAGTATCCCCGCGCTAAATTCCTCCTCACAGTCCTTGTGTGGGCCATATATTACTAGAAAT